TATTTTTTATATATAGATAGTTTAAAATTACTTATATCTTTCTACCATTTTTATAGAATATAATATAAATCCCTTTATTGTCCCACAATGGGAAAATTCTGGTGTTTATACAAGCAAAAAGATTATAGAAAAAAATGGTCACACAAATGTGGACCTTAGAAAAATGTTTAAGAATAACATAATAGTGAAGAGTTAAAAGATAAACAATAAAATACTGTACTGCAAAGTGTTTTAACAGTATAAAAAAACTGTGCACCTGGAGAATAAATAACCATTATACAGCTACGGACATTTTTATAGTAATTGATATTTGAAAAATAGCAGCAACGTCAGAGATGGGCAAAATGACAGCAGTATGTTATTTAACTGACTAAGGTTTATATCATTACATTTGCTTTTATTTTTTCATGCTCCCGGTGGTTGTCATCTTTATTGCACTCTGTATTCTCATGAGTGTAGTTTTTGTTCAATTTACCTTAAAAAAAAAAGAAAAAGAATTAGAAGTAACAGTTTGGAAAGTTTGGTATTCATCTTTTCCTGCTTTTGGACTTCGAAGGATCCAGTCCAGGTAAACCACGTCCTTGGAAGATGCAGCCCATAAAGCCATGGTGTGGGTTTCATCTGCACCCATACACTCCCTTCCATCGTTTTGAGTGGCAATATGAGTAAGTGACAAAGTTGTTTATGGTTGCTAGATATTATACATGTGATCATTTTTGTAAATGTGGGACGGATGATTTGCTGTATGCTTTAATACGCTGGAGTCAGATTAGAGTCAGTGTAATGCTACAGCTAAATTGAAGCTAACCCTTTTAATGTACGTTTTACAAAATGGATATGTTTTTTTTATTCATTCGAATGTATGTTTGTATACTAAGTACCTTTGTGTATTCTGTATCATTATAGTTTCACACTTTTTGTTTTTATTAAATCCTGTCCAAGCACAACACCACCTGTTCCTTTGAGAAAGTGATGCAAGAAAGAGTGTAGCTGGCTGTGAATCTCAATAGAGGACACAGGGTCACATTGGGTGCAACAGTACATTAAAGCAATTTAAACTGAGCTTTGTAATTTATCAGCTCTAAGATTAAACAAATGGATAGTAGATGGTTTAAAACATGCAATTCAGATACCTTAGATATATCTACAATGTCCTCTTTATGTTTTAGGTGAAGACTGTTTATATTGCTGAGCAAAAGATAGACACAAAGCATTCTGTCAGTATTTCCAGATTCCTTTTAGAATGCCATGGAAGATCTTCTAACCGGCTGTCAGGAGAATATTTGAGCAGGAGCAGCAATTTTCCTGGACTAAGACCACCTTTGGAACCAGAGACAGGCTGCAGACAAATTCAATTTGTGTCTGGAGTGCCATTTCACAATGCATGTCATCTCAAGGCAATTTACA